CAGAGAAGAGAGGGAAAGTGAAAAAGATCTTGTTTGACGAGTCACAGTGGGAAACTTTCAAGGACTTTTAAGCTCAAAACTCTTCACAATGGGGCTATAATGGGCGGCGAGATCGGCGCGGTGGTGAGGCGAGGGGACCGGGTATGGCTTTGCATGGGGGGTCCAGCCCTGGGTGCAGGGCACAGCATCGAAGGGGCCATGAATGTAGTGAATATAGGCTGTGGGTATTTCAAAAAGTGTGTGGATGGGGCACTGCAGGACGTGGTTTAGTGGGCATGGTGGGGCTGGGTCGATGGTTGGACTTGATGATCTTAGAGGTGTCTTCCAACCTTGGTGATTCTGGGTGATATAGACTGAGTGACCAGGAGCAGGCGATGTGGTGGTGTCCGAAGGGTCTCTGTGAGTTGTGTGTCCCACTGAGTACCGAGATGTGTTGCATGCAAGTGCTTAATAGTTAAATATTTGAGTTATCCTAGGACCGGTGGTCGGCACCACACGAGGGCATGGAGCAAAATTGGCTGTGAGAGTCGTGCCAGATCCAATTTAATGCAGGGCATAAGTAAAGAAAATACAGTATTTCCCCTCAATTTGGTGACACCGGGCACAGTTGGTGACAGTCACCGCTCCTGGGGCGTGAGGATGAGGAGGGTCCGCAGGTTACAGCAGTGGAGGTAGCTACAGCGAAGCTCCCGCATCCCTGAGTGCCATTCAAAAGCCAGGCAGAGAGAGCAGCATCCCCTGGGGCTTTGCACAACATCAGGTCACGGAAACATGGTAATTAACATGGAAAAACATGTTGGAGGAGGGATTTCTTTCCTTGTCGTTGGGAAACTTCAAAAAGGGAGAGGCTTGGCCCCGTGTAAGCACATCTTTGATATGCTGTGTGCTTGTTTCTGGGGTTACGGTGCTTATTCTGAAGGCTTTTAAAAATAAAGAGGAGGTTCGTGCCCCTTGTTTGCCGTACACCAGCTGTGGGGATGTGCTTGCTAAAGGGATCTTGCATTTAAGGGGGATCCAGATGGAAATGAGCTGGAGCTGGTGGTAGGGGGATGCGATACTTGGGAGACAAGGAGAGGAGCGTGCCGTGCTGGCCAGGTCGATAGGGTAATCTTAAACAAATCCTATTTTGTAATGATGGCTCTGGGTGGTTTCCAGCAGGGTAATTACCCCCAGTCTTTCTGCGCCGGCGTTAAGCCAGCACCGGGGAGCAAGAGGGGAAGCTGGGATCAAAAGAGGAAGGGACAGGGTATTTTCAAAATGCCTGAACTCCGTTCCCTCTGTGTTAATTGAGCAGTCGGGTGCAGGTATTACTGATTAATAAGAGGTGCAGCAGGTACTCCCCTCATTTTTGGCCAGAGCAAGTGTTGGAGGCAGCATTAGCTCTGTTTTACCCCTGTCCCCGACACCAAGGAGAAGAGGTAAAGAGGCCTCGGGCACCGACAATTCGCTCTGATTACCTTTGTGTGTATAATTTATTTATTATAAACCGTTTCAGGGCGGCCGTCACTGCCACGACGGGAGTGACGTTGGAAATGGATGGCTCTGGGTTTGAGCGCGTCACCGGGAGCCTGCGCGATGTTAATTTTTATTGCTAGAAGTAGCCATAAATTGATAGTTGAGAATGGCTGTAGGGACTGTAATTAACTAGTTACTATTTCACCTCCAAAAGGAGCAATGTTTCACGCTCTTACTTTTACTTATCTGGAATCAGCCGCTGTCAACATCCGCTGAAGCCCGTATAAAGATTTATAGACCTTGGAGGTAAATATTGACTAATGGGCAGCTTGGCTTAATGTTCACCTTGAAGGACAATAAATTGCACTATTGATTGGAGCGAGATGTCGATATCTGCATTGTTGTAAACATTTTAATAAAATTATCTCCATAAAATATTCTCCTTCTCTAGCCCATCCCGCCTGGTTGGATTGACAATGGCCCGGTGTAGCGAGTAGGGTAGCATCTCAGGACCGGTCCTGGGACTTTGGGCACCCAGATATCAAACATGATTGCTGAAATGGTGCTTTTTGAGGTTTAGAGGTGGAAATATCCCAGCCCTGGATGGCTGGGCTGGCTCATCTAGATCCATGGTGCAGGGATTTGGTATGGCAGCATGGGAGATGTGCTGGTGCTGCCCTGGTTCACATGATGTGCCGTGGGGATTGGGACAGCTTTATTAGGGTTATGGTCCTCGGGAGCTAGCATGGTGCACAGAAATGATGCTGGTAGCTCAGTGTCTTGCTCCCAGTTCAGCAAAGCTGCTTTATTGGCATCGTGGGCAGCATTCTGCCAGGGAAACCATAAGCATTGTGTCCTGGGGATCTGGAAATGGCTGCAGCTGTGAGCCAGGGGATGGTGGCACATAATTAATTTGGGAACATGTGTTGGCTTTCCGGTGAGTTATTATCTTGTCACAGGCTCAATGGAAGCAAGCGGGAAGGAGGAGGCAGAAGGGAGAGGATTCAGGCTGGGAAAATGAGGAGAAGGAAGGGAAGGAGAAAGGCAAGGAGGGAGGGTCTAAAGCACCACCTCAAATGCTGCCAAGATCCCCGGCTCTGCTCACGACGTGGGCTGTTTATGATGCATCAGCTCTGTCTTGGCTATTTTGCAGCTTTGGGCTGAGTTTTCCCTCCTGCTCCTTTGTGCTTGTGCTTTCCTCTTCCTGGGGGCTTTTTTGTGGCAAATTGCAGAGTTGCAGGTCTGGCAGGGCAAGACCCAGATAGTGCATGGAGGGCTCCTGCTCGCTGAGCAGGTGGATTCAAGCTCTGGTTTTCCATCTCCCTGGGTTAGTTCATCATCCTCGGTTGACGAGCAAGGATTATGCTTTTGCCTGGTCCGTGACTGTTCCATTTCTGGCCTGTATTATATTATTAGTATTAATAATAGTAATGATGGGTGCTGGCTGCGCTGGTTTTCTAGCTCCTGAGGAGATGAGAGAGCTCTCCCATTAATTCCTGCAATATTTCAGCTTCTAATTGTGCTCAAGCAGAGACGGCCTTGAAAAGTTCCCACCATCAATTTGGGCAAGAGCAGGGCTGGTACCAGCCACAGGGAGCTCCTGCATCCCGAGCATCCCTGAGCTCTGGGTGCTTTTGGATGCAGGGCTGGTGGCAGTTGGGTACCATGCTCCCAAGCCTTGGCTTCATCCGTGTCCCCATGCACCCCAGCACGAGGATAAATGTCCCTCTTGTGCCCCTGGGGACCCTGGTGATGTGCACCCTGTTGCTTTCTATAAAGCAAGGTCTATCCTTACAGATTGTGTTTGTTTAACCCTGGCCCCGCTCCCTCAGCCCCATCTATTTGTTTTTCCTTTCCTGGCAGTCACTAATGAATGAGATTTGTCCAACCATCAACAAGACTTCCCATTATAAATAGGCAAAACCGCAGAGGCCAAGGAGCCGAGTGGTTCAGCAATTACTCTCGGTCCGCTCAGTCAACACTAGCACTGGCACCATCCGGCAGCAAAGCAGCTTTATGGACCTGGTTTTTTTCGGTAAAGGGACTGCCCTCTGGCAGGGGTGGTCTTCCTAGTGCTATAGTAATCATCATCTGAGCGTGAGTCATACCAGATAGTGCTCAGGGCAAAGGCAGGCATCAAGTCCAGTGCAGAGCATCCCATTTTGCATGCCAGGGTCGATGGGCTGTAGCTAAAATCCGCAGCTGGACCCCAAAACCCTGAACTCTCACGTTGTGCCTCTCTGTCGGCCAATTACCATGCTCATATCTCAGACTTCAGCACAGAGGAAGCCTTCATCTCTCAATTTCCCGAGCATTTGCAGGTGCAAAGCTGACCCTGGCAGTCCCTTTAATGAAGTCTTTTGCTGGGTAATGAAATGCACTCGAGCCGCTTTGCTCGCAGATCAAACCGGGGACGCACGAGAGCTGATTCTCACCGCGTGCGAACCGGGGATGGGCCTGTGGCTACTTGGGAAGCGGAGCCTTATCCCAGCCTTGGCACAGACCAGAGTCAGATTTGAGCACGGAGCATCTGAAGGCCACCGGCTGTGTCAGTATTTTATCAGCAGGCAGCGCTGTGCTACAGAGAAGCCGATTCTAGGTCAGCTATAAAAGGGATTTATGTATTTATTTTCTTTCCCCCTCTCTCCTTTCTTGTGCTGCGGGCCCGCTGCGATTTGTGTTTCTGACGGCTATTGATCTGGGGGTAACGCCTTCATATCTTGCCCTTTAGTTGCTCTAAAAACTGATGAACTCGGTAGTTTTGGCCGTGAGATGCTCGGGTGGGAATTTTGGCGCAGGGCCATGGGTGTACATCGGCAATTCGTTGTGCTGGGTAAAACTGGCTTCACCCCTTTCCAAAGCTGCCTTCCCAATTGGGTCCACCCGTGATAACGCAGAGCCCCGTGTGCTTTTGGTGGGGGGCGATGGTGTGTGGCCGCGCTCGCTGTTTATGTGCCGCAGGCAGAGATGCTCTAACAGCACCGTCCGATGGGATGCAGGCGGTGCGTGCCCTGACAGCAGCCTCCCACGTGTGTATTTTGCATGCATTTGTTACAGCGAGATGCAGACGGGCGAGCGGTCGAGCGTGGCGAGCAGCGGCCCATCGGGAAGCGAGGGCGAGCACAGGAGCATCCCCGGGGACCGGGGACCTGCCTCGGCCTCTGTGCCATTGGCGCTCGCTCCCAGAAACAGCTGTCCAGAGCTAATTTATTTCCTAATGCTGCAGCAATGTTAATTTATAAATTACACTGGTAATTCGAGCTATTATTAATTTCAGATGGTGTAGGGCAAGCCTAATTAAAATATGACACCGATTGCCACACATATGTACCAAGGACTACCGGTTAAAATTTATAGGAGTATTAAGTGTGACACTGGTCTCCGAGATGCTTCTCACAGTAATTACAGCATCTCTGTATTTGTGGTAACGCCACGATCTCCATCAACCCGGGGACTGGGTGTCCTAGGGCGGTGGGACACGGTCACAGGGGGGACACACAGGTTTCTCTCCATCGCTCATGACCCCTCTCCCTTTGCTTTTGCAGCCGTGGGCTTCATCAGCGAGGACGAGTACCTGGAGATCACGGGCATCACGCGGGAGCAGTCGGGCGAGTATGAGTGCAGCGCCTCCAACGACGTGGCAGCGCCCGTGGTGCAGCGAGTCAAAGTCACTGTCAACTGTGAGTAGCCCGAGGGCTATCGGGGACCCGTAAGGGGACAGGACTTTGGTGACGGGAAGCGGGACGAACCCAGCCTCCGAGAGGCGGTGGCAGTTTCCTGAGCAGGTGGTGGTTTGTCCTTTCCTCTCCTCCCCCCCCCACCTTTTTTTCGAGCTCTGTTTTTTTCCACCACCTCCTCCTCCTCAGCTGTCTCCATCAGCCTGGGTTTTCCACCCATGGTGAGATGCTGTGCTGATAACCTCCAGGGAAAAGAGAGAAGTGAGCAGTAAATAGGATTTTTTTTTTCCTTGAGAAAAAAACAATGCAAGAGGGAAAGAAATAGAGCGAGGAAGAAAGCAGCATATTTTGTGCTCAGACAGAGGTGAAAACCCTCCTAAACTTCCCTGTGGCCACCCCTTCAGCTGCTGGGCATGAGCTTAGAGCTGATTTTGACTCCTTCCTAAGTGCAGGGAAAGAAAAGGGAGCTGGAGGAGCCCGGGGAGGGGGTGGGATGCCCAAAGGCTGCTGAGAATTGAGCCCAGGTTTCCTGTTTTTCCCAGACCCGCCGTACATCTCGGACGCGAAGAGCACCGGGGTGCCGGTGGGGCAGAAGGGCATCCTGCTGTGCGAAGCCTCCGCCGTCCCCTCCGCCGACTTCCAGTGGTACAAAGACGACAAGCGGTGAGAAAAAAAGATGAGAGGTGCATGGGGGGGAAGGATCCAAACACAGGATGAGCCACATAGGTGTTTTAGACAAAAAAGATCACACAGAATTGCTCGGTTGGAAAAGCCCTCTGAGATCATCACGTCCAACCGTTCCTGTCTACTCCCTAAACCATATCCTTAAGTACCTCATCTACCCGCTCTTTAAACACATCCAGGGATGGTGACTCCACCACCTCCCTGGGCAGCCTGTGCCAGCTTCTGACGATCCTCTCAGTAAAGAACTTCCTCCTTATCTCTAACCTGAACCTCCCTTGGCACAGCTTGGTGCCGTTTCCCCTTGTTCTATCCCCATCACCTGGGAGAAGAGCCCAGCACCCACCTCTCCACAACCTCCCTTGAGGCAGTTGTAGGTGGTGATGAGGTCTCCCCTCAGCCTTCTCTTCTCCAGGCTAAACAAGCCCAGTTCCCTTAGATGCTGTTTTAGGGGGAAAGGAGCAGGTAGCATACAAAGCAGTGAGTGTTTGCGTGTTGGATGCAAGGCTTTGCTCAGAAGTAGGTTGGATGCCAAGGGCCTGCGAAAGTCATGGAAAATAGCGGGTGTTTGTCCTTCTGATGCCATCCCCATGACCCTCTCCCCTTCTGCCTTTCTCCCAGGCTGGCTGAAGGACAGAAAGGCCTGAAGGTAGAGAACAAGGCCTTCTTCTCCAGACTGACCTTCTTCAACGTCTCCGAGCAGGACTACGGCAACTACACCTGCGTGGCCTCCAACCAGCTAGGGAACACCAACGCCAGCATGATCCTTTACGGTGAGCAGAGTGTGGGTTTCCATCCTCTCTGGTGAATACCTCGAAGAGCTTCTGTTTGAAGGCATCTTCCTGTGTCCGTCGGTGGTGCTCAGGGTCATGGTGGGACAAATGTGTGGGATGAGAGAGAATAAACGGCCCCCGTGGCTTTGCTACCTTCCAGGTCATGGTTTTGGCTCCTGGCAAGTGGATTTATTCTTACTGATGGTGCCAGAGGGAGATGGGAAGGAGCAAAGGATGGGGAGGGGGAGCAGCTTTGTACCTTGGAGTACAAAGAGATGGGGCAGGAGTGCAGCAGGGTCCTGATGGGTCTGAATGTGGGGCTCAGCCAGCTTTTAGGATGTGGTGGTTGCAGTAAGAAAAGGCAGTGAAAGGGAGGAAGCACTGTGGGATAGGAGGAAGGACGTCCCTGGAAAAGTGATCTCTTTGCTGCGGTTCTCCTGTGTACTCAGGGAAGTGGTTTCTCTGGGGAGAGCAGAGGATGCCAGGCTTTCCCAGGAAGGGCAATCCACAGGGGGGGCTCATCCTCCCCTGCTATCAGGATTGGTGGTCGTGTCGGGATCCCTTGGGATGTGTCAGGGGAGCTCTTCCCATCACCCAGTGTAGATCTAACCATGGATGTTAATGAGCTTAATAAGATGTGTTGACCCCAAAAGTCTGTGCTGTAAGTGATGAACATTGGCGTCTTTACCTGCCCATTAAGCTATCGTTAGCGTTGCTTAGGAACTGTCTCCGCTCTCTTCCCCACCAGGCCTCCTGGTCATCCAAAGCCCAAATAACCCCATTTTTCAGGGAGAAGAAAGAGCCACCCCAGCCCAGCTCCCTCTGAGCCCCCAAAATAGCCCAGGCCATCCTTAGCCTTGATGTTGTAGGCTCCCTGTGGGTTTATGAGGTTAAAATGTTAAGTGTGGGGCCTTGGTCTGGCATCTGCAGACATTAAGTAAAAGTAAAGATGACTTCTCTTTGCTGATGGCTTTGCGAGAGCTGTCAGTTATTTGGGTTATAACCCATTAGTGATGTTTTCTGTGGTCTGTGCCATAATGGCAGCATGGAGCATCCCGCAAAACTCTAAACCTATTTCACTATCCCCCTTGGCTTTGTCGGTCTGAACGCTGCTCCCATCCGGGAATGAAATTGGAGTCCTTTGCCCATCATTTCCATAAAGCCACGTTGATTTAATGATCCATTCAGTCTTTATTGATTGAGTCCACTCAGGGGGTGAAGGCTCCCTAAGCCACCCCAACCCACCACACACCCAAGGGGTTCCCCATCTCCTAGCATGGGGCTCCCCAGCACCTCCAGTTACAGCCCCTCCATAATTAGCACACCGCTAACAAGTGCTTATCCCTAAGTAACCGGTGCCTTTAGTCCCACAATTAACGTGTCTTTATTAATTGTAATTAAGTTACGCACGATGGCTGCATTACCTGCAGCATAGGAAACGCCTCACCCATGAGGTTTTGGGGGGCAATTTTGCGAGCAGCCCCTTTTTCCTGCGAGTTTAATCCATTTTTTTCCACAGGAGTTTAATCCATGTGGGTACCATGACGCGAGCCCGTGCGACAGAGGCTAATGTAGCGTACATCTTTTAATCCCTTTTTTAATCGAATTTTTCAGGGAGGTCAACTGGTGCTTTATTTAACATGTAGCACTTGTTATTATAGGCGTGCTGCCTCATTTGGCGCCGTCTGTGACGTGGTGGAGTGCTCGGAGGCACTACATCATCTTGTGGATTTGGGGAAATAAAGGGCTCTCCGCTTCTCCCCCATCACACGGTCCATGTCGCTTCCCGGAGGCTGATGTTGGGCCATAAACCCATTTGGGATGTTACAGGGTTACAGAGAGGGAACAGGAGGAGAACAGAACCCTCCAAAATCCCCCAAATCAAAGCCCCTGTGGTATTTTTTGTTTGGGGGGCAGCAGCTACCCCATCCTTTTCCCTTAGGCGGAGGGCAGGCCCAGCAAAGCGCCTCGAGCCTGCGCTTTCCATTGTCCGTTTGCCTTAACTTTCGCTTGTTCTTTAATTTTTAGAAGAGACAACTACCGCTCTGACACCCTGGAAAGGTCAGTAATTCGGGGACCCCCACCATGCTAGCTCTCCCCCCACTCTGTTTCCCCACGGGCCCCTCCAGCTCCCACCCCGAGGTGCCCCCCACCTCCCACTCCTGTTGATACAGCGATGAATTAGGGCCTTCTTGTTGCCCTCCCATCCTGCCACCTCCCCACAACCTACTGTGCCTATTTGGTGGTGGTCTGTGCCCCCTGCATGCCTCATCCCACCCCCCGCCAGGGTCCCAGCTCCTGTGCCCCATCCCCATCACCAGGGCGAAAGCAGGGATGTATCTGTGATCTGTTTTCTCCGTGGTGCTATGTAAACAGGTCCTGTAGCAGGTCCTTCCTCCTCTAGGACGCTCCTGTCCTTCCTCCTCTAGGATGCTCCTAGGGCTCGGTGTCATCTTGATTTTGGGGTCTGTAGTCAAGTATAGCTGCAATTGTGCTGTATTGGGCGGTCAGCCCTCAGGATGAATTATAGATACCAAGAAGGTGAAGGAGGTAGCATGGATATGATCATGTCTCCAGATTGGCAGGATCTGGGGGAGGACTGAAGCATTGTGAGGTGTTTGTGAGTGTGTTGTAAGGGTGCTACCAGTAGAAGACCAATTGGTTCATGGTGCTTTGGTTGGGCTGCGGAGCGAGGGGTTGTGTGCTGCGATTCCCATAGCGCAGGTCAATCATGCCTAGAGGGCAGCCCTGCTTGAGCAGCTTGGATCTCATCCTGAGGTCTTGTTCCCACCATACCTTTTCCCCAGCCCAATATTTTGGGGTGTTTTGGTGAACACCACAGGGTCAGGCACCTTCCATGCTTTTTCCCACGGTGCGTTTGTATCTCCTGACCCAGAAAGGGGCTCCCCTGGAGGTGAATGGGCTTTGCTGCCCTTCCCGCTGTCTTTGTCCCACCTCATTCTTCTTGAGATGGTTTGGGGAGGTGAACAGAGTGTGTAGTACGTGGTGATGCACATAATATGGAGAGTAGGGCTGGTAGGTAGGGCTGGTGACGGGGTTTCTGTTGGTTGGGTGGGTGGTTATTCCCCTCCCTAAGGGATGTGAGTGGTGACCCCCATGCCAAGCTTGCTGGGCCTGGCCAAATATTGGGTGAAAGCTATCGGGGAACTTGGAGAAAGTTTGGAGAAGGGGTAGAGGGCACTGAAGGAGATGGGTTGGTGGGGTACATGGGCCTGAAGTGGGACTGGAAGGGCTTGGGTCTCACAGATTGGGGTCAGCCAGTGCTGTGCTCTGGTGAACACAAGTGCCAGGGGCCACCATGTGCCATAGCAGCTGGGGCCTAAACATTGCACTTATGTTGTTTTTACTTATTAATGTGTGTGTTTGATGGGAGTTTGTTGGCTTCGTGGCTCACCAAGCGGCTGTTTCTGTCCCTTCTCCCAGGCCCTGGCGCGGTGCACGACGGCAACAACGGCGCGTGGCGACCGGGCGGCCACGCGTGGCTGCTGGCCC